TAGATAGATAGATAGATAGATAGATAGATAGATAGATAGATAGATAGATAGATAGATAGATAGATAGATAGATAGATAGATAGATAGATAGATAGATAGATAGATAGATAGATAGATAGATAGATAGATAGATAGATAGATAGATAGATAGATAGATAGATAGATAGATAGATAGATAGATAGATAGATAGATAGATAGATAGATAGATAGATAGATAGATAGATAGATAGATAGATAGATAGATAGATAGATAGATAGATAGATAGATAGATAGATAGATAGATAGATAGATAGATAGATAGATAGATAGATAGATAGATAGATAGATAGATAGATAGATAGATAGATAGATAGATTAATTAATGATTAATTAATCGATCGATCTAATTAAAGTTTAAATAAAAAAGTTATACTCTCCGTTAGAGACAGGGTGAGAAGTTCGGTTATCCAGGAGAGACTCGGAGTAGAACCGCTGCTCCTCCATGTCGAGAGGAGCCAGTTGAGGTGGTTCGGGCATCTGGTAAGGATGGCCCCTGGGCGCCTCCCTAGAGAGGTGCTTCGGGCATGTTCAACTGGGAGGAGACCCCGGGGAAGACCCAGGACACGCTGGAGAGACTATGTCTTTCGGTTGGCCTGGGAACGCCTTGGAGTCCTCCCAGAAGAGCTGGAAGAGGCTGTGGAAAGAGATGTCTGGGCCTCCCTGCTCAAGCTGCTGCCCCCGACCCAACTTCGGTAAAAGCAGAAGATAATGGATGGATGTTTTTAAATTAAAATGTTAATGTCACATTTACATATCCAACAAAATTGCCTAATATTTAGACACACTTTAAATTTATTCTTTATTACTTTAAATTGGGATATAAAGTTTTATTTGTATTTTTCTAAAATTAAAAGGAAGACTCACAAAAACCTGCAGAGTTCAGGGTTAAAATTTATTTGGTAAAATCGATATGAATTTTCCCACCTTGTTTACATGAATGCAGTCTTTTCTTTAGCCCTAAAATGTAAAATTATTGATAAATGTTAAAAATCATTACATAATTTTTGTTTTATAAAATCGCCCCCAATGGTTGGAAAAAAACAACCTTTCATACAAATTTGAAGTGGCCCATGAGCCACCAGTTGATAATCACCGTTGCAGCAGGTTTTGCGGCTCTAGACACATTTTGTTATTAAATGAAGGGTAGAAATTGCTCTTTTGATCAACATACACAGACCATACCTTTGAAGGAAACTCAACTAAACCTAATTTATTTAATCCCGTCAAGCTGCCATTATCCTATTAAGACTTTGTATTTACCGTTTTTTGAGTGAATGTGATAACTGTTATATATGTAACGAACCTGAAACAACAGAACATTAATTTTATTTCTGTCATTCTGTGAACACATTATGGAAATCCCTTCACGATCTCCTGACCATCAAATCTATGAACATAGACTCCTTCTCTGTTCAGAATATATTATATGGATATGTATCTGAAAATAAAAAAGATGAATACTTTGTCAATAACATTATCATAATATTAAAATTCTATATACATAAATGCAGATATGGCAAGTCTAAACCATTATGGTCTGTATTCAAACAAGAACTCCAGTTATTAAAACTTTCATTAGACTGTGCAAAAAAAACCACAAGCCAAAAAGCTCTCTGATCACCTCGCTCAGATAATATAGCCCTCTGACAAATTATTTTAGTAATTATGTAGATTCTTAGATAAATAGTTAGTTGTTTAATTTACTGTACTATATTATTTGCAAAATCTCAAATAGTATTATTACCTAAATTTTAAGTTTATGATGGTTGATATGATAATTTGTTTAAGAATATATTGACCTTAGGAGGTATGATTGTAGATATTTGTGTTTATATGTATCATTGTAATTTGAGATTGTCATTTGTTGTTCTATTTGTGTTCTTTTGTTCTGTATGTTCAGTAGTTCAATAAAGTAAAAAAAAAAAAAAAAAAAAAAAAAAAAAAAAAGATATATATATATATATATATATATTTATTAAAATATATATATATATATATTTTTTTTTTTTTTTACCGTTTTTGAGCGTAAAGAAAAACAAGCGGCGTTTAATTAATGGTGAGTTTTTGTAATTGCACACTCTGTCCACACGGGGGCGCTGCTTGGTCATGTAACCGTCATCAGAGGCGGAGAAGAAACGCTGCGATCCGACCGAGTTCAACCAAAACTCCGCCGCCAACCAGCTCAACAGGAACTGACGTCTCCTCTGTGCAAGTGGATGGAAAAATGCAGCTGCAGGAAAAATGACTCCGAACACCGCACCGCTAAAAGGTGACAAACAAACCCCTTTACAGCTTTTGTCTCCGTCTAAAAAGTTGTTCTTCGCGGATGCTTGTACTTCGCTTTAGCGCGTTGGTCGTTTTCGGGCTGTTTTCCGTCCGTGAAAGCCTTCGTTTCTTCCTTGTTGTGGTTAGTGGAGATGACCAACAAGCAGTCGCCTTGAGCACTTCTTAAATTATTAAAATAGTTGTTCATAAAGCTACAAATAGCACTCGTAAAAGTCGTCCTAGTTTACATAAAGACGGCGGGATTTCAGTGTTTGCTAGATGTTCAGCTGGTTAGCAAGCTAAAGTTAGCATCAACTGAGTCAAAAGTTAAAAGTTCAAATTACGAGTTAAAAGTAGCCAGAATAGCTATTTGGAAAAGAATAGCTTAATTATTTAAAACAGTTATTTGAGTAGACATTAAATTAGACTGTTGTTTTATGTTAACGGTATAACTTTTATTTTTATTTGATAGTTGATATGAAACACGTACAACGCTGATTTGGGGTCAGGTGAACCGATGGGTTAGCTTAGTGGCTAACTCCTCAAAGTAAAAAAAAAACCCCAAAACTTTATTTCTCGTTTTTTTTTATTCATTTTTTTAAATAAATCGCCACAAAAGACAGCTGACTTTGATTAACTCTTAACTCCTTTCTTGTTATTTCAGCAGTTCCAGTAAAAACACAATGAAAAAGTGAGTCCTGTTGTGATCACATAGTTAGAAATGTTAATTTAATTAAAGAAGGGGTTCAACAGGGACAAATGAATGGCATCACTTTGTGTGGTCCACACACTGTTTATCAGTTTTATCCACTTAATTGGACCTCATTGCTGATCCTGTCAGTTTGTTTATGTCTTTTATGAAGAACCACCTTATAAATCTGTAAGTACCATAAGACTTGGTCATATATTCTTTTTTTTTTTTTCAGTTCTTGTGTTGCACTTTGATCTGCTGCACAAAGTTTTGTTTGCATCTGCACTTTTGCACAGCTCCATTATCTGCTGCTTGTTTTGTTGTTGGGTCTTGGTGTGGGGGGGAGACATCTCTGTCCACAGCCACCTCTTCCAGCTCTTCTGGGAGAACTCCAAGGTGTTTCCAGGCCAGCCAGGAGTCATAGTCTCCTCCTTGTTGGTCATGTCTGGAAGAACTCCCCAGGTGGATGTCCAGGGTGCGTCTATACTAGATGCCCGAATCACCTCAACCGACTTCTCGCAATGTAGAAGAGCAGTCAACTGAACTTTTCACCCTGTCTCCATAAGGGAAAGTCCCACTACGCTGCTGAGAAAACTCGTTTTAACTGATTGTATCCATGATCTCATATTTTCGGTCTCAGAGTTTGTGACCGTAGGTGAGGGTAGGAATGTAGACCGACTTGTAAACAGAGCGTATTGCCTTGCAGCTCAGTCCCTTCACCACAACAGACAGGCGCAGAGTATGCGATACTGCGGAAGCCCGATTAATCCGGCTGTCAATCTCATGCCCCATTCTTCTCTCTGTACTGTTTGTCAATGGAAATCCCTACGTCTTCAGTCAAACCCCATTCAGTTGAGTCTTTAACAGATTGATTTAATCAATCTTAATGAACTCCAGTTCAAACCAGAACACCAAGAAGGATAGTCACGATGCTCACTAATATTTGCAGGTTCTCAGAGTCGTTATTTACCTAAACTGAATTTAACTACTGTTCATTGTTCTCTTTGTTAAACTCGGGTCTCTCTTGTAAACGAGTCCCCGAGGCTCAGCGGGATTAACCTGTATGAATAAAGGTTGAACGAAGTGTGTAAAGACACACGCTCTTGACGTTTTAATTTAAACGTGAAAAGGTGACGGCATAAATTGAGCACAAAGCTGTTGGAGCATATTGTTTTACTTTGTGCAAAATCAATGACGCGCTGATATTTTGTCAGGGGACGAGGCGTTTCTGCAGAGACTTAACCATCAGTGACAGTGTGGATGAAAAGAACCCTATCGTTCTCTTTTCCCCCTTTGCTATTGACCAAGTCGGCACCAAGCTTCTCCTAGTCAAATGCTTAATGAATGCCTCCACATTCTCACTGCCTGCCGGTTTCTGCACAGCTGATAAGACAATCTTGGGGCCATGGTGTTAGCGTACAGCGAGGGAAGAGAGGACCCATTGGGCTGTTGAGCATGCCAAATTCCTCAGCTGCACAATAGTGTTGGGTTAGTGTGAGCCCAAGCACAGCCAGCCTTCTTCAGCACAATGGGAGGGGGGGGGGGGGGTCAGGAGAGGCTCATGATGCCTGGGGAGAGGAGGAACTCGCTCAACCCCTGAGCTGTGATTGTTCCATGAATGGTTGCTTTGAGGAGGCGCCGTGTCATTCTAGGATCTCAAAATGTTCGTGCGTTTTTGGGTAATGAAGAATAAAATATTCATTGCAAAGTCATGAAGATCAGTAAAAAAAAAAATAACTAAACAAAATCCACCCACCCCCACACCCTATTGATGAGTAATACCGTAATTTCCGGATTATAAGCCGCTACTTTTTTTTTTACATTCTTTAAACCCCGCGGCTTATACAATGCTGCGGCTAATTTATGGATTTTTGTTTTTTAACGAGCTTCCTGCCGCCAAAACATTTAGCCTCGTCACAACCCAGTGCTCGCATAGCTGCCCAATACACGTCTCTCCTGGGGAGGGGGGGGGGGGGGGGCTCGTTGCCTGCATAAATAAAGATAAAAAAAAAATAATCTGACCGATGAAATTACCAAACAGGTCACAGTGGACCAATGAAAAGGAGTGGAGGAGGGAACAAGGAGGGGGAACTTGTTCTCCTCCCTGGGGGCACAACAAATTATTGGCAGCCACTCGATATCAGTGTGGATCGTGTATTAAAGTGACACTCGAAGCTCGGTGGGAGGCTTGGATGACCGGTGGCGAGAAATCGTTTACCAAAACTGGCGGCAAGAAACTTCTGCTCCAGTCGGCCAGTGGGTGATGAGAGAGGAGCAGTTTTAAAAAATCCTCTGCAGGAGGAAGATGAAGATAGAAATCAATGACTTCCTGGTAGCCTACTGTACGTTGTGTACGTTACCAATACGTACTTAATCCAAAGTTTTAAAAAATCTCTCTATGTAAAAGTCTCGCGTTACAACATGGACACCCGCGGCTTATACACAAGTGCGGCCTATATATGAACAGAATTATTTTAATTTATTTTTTTAATGTAGTGGGTGCTGCTTATATTTTGGTGCGTTCAATAGTCCAGAAATTACAATGTGTCCTTTAAAATAAAACTAAATTGTAAAACAAATTTGTGAACTGCTGCCAACTACCATGTGTGTTTGCTTATCTACAAAAACAGCCGAAGTGACTGAAAATAGGTTTACAATTGCAACGTCCACAAAAGAGTTGTTTGGGAATTAAAATTCAGACAGTTTTGACGTATTGGTATGTATTTATCTACAGGTTTGTTGTGTGGAGTATGAAGAGACAGATAAAACGGATATGGCGCTCCACTGCCCTGCTTAATCCCAGATATTTATTCTTCAGAGTTTTATTTTTATTTTTTTGCATTTTAGCAGCAAATTGATCCCAACTAGGCCAGTCACAATAAACAGTAAATCAATTAATCGCATGATAAATGAAAATTATCGACCTCGTTTTCATTTATCAGCTTTATCGTTTCTTCGTGTCTCTCACTTTCTACTGAAGACACTGGATGACAAAAGATCCCGATGCATGCTCAATCATCCATATAGTCATATATGGATGACAAAAGGTTCAACGCCGGTGCTCTTCACTGACCCCTCCCGTTCTCTTTTCTCTTTAAAATCCATTGTAACCGTCCAAAATCGCGCCTTTGGGTCGTTAAAAGCAACAAAAATGAGAAGCTAAGCTACGAGCTAAGCTAACAAGCCAACCTTGGGAAAAAATCTCTGTCTTGTCAAAGCTTCAAAATTCACGGTTGAATCTCGTTCCTTCGTGTAAAAAGTTGTTTTTCTCTGCAAAAAGAAGCTGAGAACTTGTTTACTGATGTTTTTTTTAAAACTTTGTGTGGAAAAACGCTATGCTAAAGAGCTCAAACCACACCGAGTGCCCACCATTTTGAGAATTTAAGGAAAGGAAAGAGAGCCCATGTCACGTCAAGAGGCCTCGCTCCCATTTTTCTTACTATCCATCCTTCGGTTCAAACAATCTTATACTGCCATCCGATGGTCAAAAAAGGTACTACACACAAAAATTAAACATGTCTTCTTAAATTCAACAATAATTACTAATTATTGTTGAATTTCAAACAATATCATCGTTTATCGCAATAATTTCTGAGACAATTAATCGCCCAGTAAAATTTGTTATCGTTACAGGCCTAATCCCAACATATTTGCTTACCCACACAAACAATGTCCAGCCTAACGAAGGTCAAACGGGTGACTCGAGCTTACGTTTTGGTTTTTGGCAGGTCAATTCCGAGTGCTTCTTTTACACCGAGTATGTAATCACATTACAAAATTGCATTTCAATATTTCTAGAAAACAGCTGGAGTAAACGCTTTCCATTTGAAATTCAGATTAGTTTTTTTTATGATTGATCATATAGTTTGCTGTGAATACCTGATGCCATCTGGTAAGTTTTTCTATTGCTGTTGCCAGTCTTTACGTATTAGACAACACCCAAATTCTTAAGTTAACTTTATGCCAGTTTGATGAGTCAAGTGTCTATCTTGCCATGAATCATTTTGAGTCATTGTATGTAATCGGTGTCGGTGCCTGCCTAAACAACTGCAGGGTACACCTTGTGAAATACCTGAATAGAGGTGCTTGTTGGTGAGTTTGGTTTTACGTTGAATGAGATTCACATAATGTCTTGTTGTCAGACCCACATGATTTCAAAGCAAGCACCAGCAATTTCTGGATGTGTATATTAGATAAATGGCAGCAGATCAATGAGCAATCAGTGCTTAGCCCAACAAAGACTGGATATTTTTAACTGCAGTACTGTTGCTGTGGCTCAGCAAGTATAAAGGCGGGTTAATAATTAATTAGTTGGTGTTCAGAATATGGTTAAAGGTGCATGAGCAAGCCCTTTCAACGTCATTATTTTTCTACCAACATTTTAGATTGGCTACTTATCCTGCAGCTTAAAAAAAAAACTATCAAAAGCCCGAAAAGTGGGATTTGACTTTGGTAGCAGTACATCACACAGCGAAGACACAATTTACAAACTAAAAACCAACGCTGCAAATTATTCCCACCAGTCAACGATGGGATTTTAACAAAACGAGTGAGAAAACCCAGGTCAGGTGTGTGGTTATCATGCTGACACTGGCAGCAGCTTTAAACAGTTTTGATTTAGGTTCTGTTTATTTACACTTAGGCATTTTGTCAGTTTAGATTTTTTTTTTTTTTCAAATGTTCCAAATTACTATTGAGAACGAATGTTGATTTTATGGTAAATTTTCAGGCCGAAGCTGTAACGGCACTCTTCAAAAATCTATTTTTAACTGAAAAATGCCATTTTTTTTCTTGCTTTGTTTTCAGTCTTTCTAACCATTAGTCATTTATTCATTTTTTTTTTCTTGTATTTTCTTTTTAGGTGATTAAGTCTTAACTCCTCAACCATTTGGGCAACTCAGACTTAGAAGTGGTCCTTCTCATGGCTCCATCCACTTGACGCAATGGCCCAAACACACAGTGGTAATGGGTTCAAGCTGGATGTCCCCAAGCCAAAGGGGGCTGTGGGCAAGGAGGAAGCCCTCCGCATGGAAGAGGAGGCTTTAGCGAAATTACAAAGGGAGAAGAGACACACTCTTCCAGTTTCAACATCTTCATCTTCCTCAAAACCAGTGGTGTCTAAGTCTGCCACTATTGCTCCCAAACCACCTCCTTCCAATAACAAACCCGACAAGGACCTTATTGACTTCCCGGAGACTAAGAAACAGACAGAGCAGAACAAGTTCAGGGATATTGATGTGAATAAGCTGACCAATGAGGAGCTTGAAAAGCTTCTACTTGATGAAAACTTTGGTGTTAACAGCAAAGAGTCCAAGCCCTCGGCACTGCTGGGGTTTAACCTCAGTGCCTCTTACCCTGGAGGCCATGCCTGTAGCTCGTCTCCTTTTCAGAGCAGCCAGTGGTCTTCTGTTCTGTCCTCTGCATCTACGTCTAAAGTGTCCACTCCATCCCATCAGCCTAGCCCATTGTTCCCCTCAGCTCCATTTCCCAAACCAGGCACATTTCAAAATGGTTTCACTCCACCTATATCACCCTTTATGACCCTGCCTGCACAGCAGCCAGCCTTCATGACTTTACCTCCCATCCAGCCTGCGGCTGCCTTGGTCTTCCCACAACCAACTGTAGACCCAGAGATGGCCAAATTGTTTGACAAGATTGCCAGCACTTCAGAGTACTTGAAGAATGGCCGATCAGTCAGCACGGATGTTGATTCTTCTCAAGCGAGCCCTGCCTCTCTGGCACCCAACCCTCCACCCCAACAGCCAGCAGTGGTGGAATCATCTCACATCAGCCGCTTTGACTGGCTGGATCTGGACCCACTTACAAAGCACAAAGTGGAGAACGAGGACCCATGTTTGACGTTACAAGGAGCTGCAGAGACGGTATCAGAGGGTTCTGCCGGGGATCCTTGGGATGCAGTGCTTGAAACTAAAGGGAACAATGGTAGTAAAGAAAGCAGCCCCCCTCTGGAGGGGAAAGTTTCACATACAGTTCGCTCACAACAGAGGAGAGCATCAACTGGAGCACCTGTCACTAGGAGTCACTCACTCAACATCCCGGGGTCTTCCGCCCAGCACATCCCAAATAATCAGGTAAGGCCACACAAAGTAAAATAATAAAAAAAATAATAAACAGCTCCTAGGTTTTTTAAATCATCATGTACAGTTTTGAAGGAATGTCAGCCTTGACATTTAAGGTACTTCGTTAGTCCTCTGTCAAATATGGGTAGGGAGTACTGGGGAAAACAACAATGTCTGAGTATCTTAACCCTGCTGGTCTCCACCACCCTTTGACCTCCAGTGAAAGATGTTCCTGTACAATATTCCAGCCTTTTGCTTATGGCATTCCATGTATGCTTTGCCTGCCTGCATCTTAACTCCTGCTGTTATGGGGCAGATGTGGCTGAGTGGTTAAAGCAGTCGTCCTCCTGGGAGAGTTGGGGGTTCGATTCCATCAGCAGTCACATGTTGAAGTGTCCCTGGGCAAGACACTGAACCCCTCATTGCCTCCGATGTGTGTCCCATCGGTGTATGAATGTGATCTAAAGCACCGTTAAGTCTATAGATTCAGATTATCTTTGTGTAGATCTAGCAGAGTGCTGTATGAATGGGTAAATGAGGCACAGATTGTACTGTAAAGCACTTTGAGTATTTTGATTAGATAAAAAGGATATACAAGACAGTACATTCCTTATACCATTTATTTGCTGAGTTGTCTCAGGGGCATCTTTGCATAGTTTGTGTCTGGGTCCTGTCTGGTATGGTGGACTTTGGCTTCTCGTACTTTTGTTCTGCCATGATTAGTGCCTCTGTGCTGTCCTTCAGTCCAGCCTCCTCTAGCTACCCATTGGTAGGATTGCTGATATTATCAGTTTTCTCAATCTGATGGTGGTACATGCTATGCAGGGATTTTATCTTTCCATGGTGAATCCTTTTGTTTCTCCTCTTCCACCTTGGATTTCTGCTGCCTGAGACACTTGCTTAGCAGTTAATTATTGATGGTATTTTTCTTGATGTACTCAAGGACTATAGTGGTTTCATCCTGTATAACCTCACTAGTCTTCTGCCTCCCTCCTTTCTCTTTGGTTATAGTCACACTACAGGCCTTAATGCTCAATTCTGTTTTTTTGCGTGTGATTGTTTACATTTTACTTTAAATCCTACAGTCATCAGAATTCTGCGTGGACTTTCATTGCCCCTGTTACAATCTGCATGCAGTGCACCGAAGAAGAAGTGACGTCACACGCAGCGTGCTGCGTTTATGGGACTAAACATGGATGCTACACATGTTAGCATGTGTGTATCGATTCGGAAGTTGTTATGTAATCAAAACCGATTAGGTTATCATCTGACATTATTGTTTTGTCCCATTTATTTTTTATTTTTTTCATTTGATCATGACTCATGCCTGCCACTCTGGAGAAGCATTGCGTTTTTGGAATGCTATAGATTCTCAGTCATCTTGAACATGGCCAATATAAAAAAGAACAAAACTTGATTTCTGTTCTGTAGCTGAAGAAGTGAGGAATCCCAATATTTAAACTATAGAATCAATTTTTATTATTTAAATACTTGGATCAATCTGCATACTCCTTACCTCACTGACTTAAAAGTCGGATGAAATGCAACATTACCGTTCAGACTGAAGTCGCTTTGAAAAACATCGGCTATGCATTTGATTAAATACCACACATTCAATTTATTTATATAGCACCAAGTCACAACAGAAGTAATCTCAAGGCGCTGAACAGAAACAGAGTACTGAATACATGAAAAAGCCAATTAATCAAAGTTATCTATCTAAGGAAGCCAGCAGATTATGTTGAATCTTCACGTCGTAGCGGTCTTCCATACTGAGCAGCACAAAGGCGGCAGTGGAAAGGAAAAACTCCCTTTTGTCAGGATGAAACCTCCAGCAAAACCAGGCTCAGGACGAGTGGCCATCTGCTTCGACGGGCTGGGATTTGAGAGGACAGGAAGTAGAAACAACACAGAATGTGAGGTCCAGTTGTACTTTCAATTGGAAGAAATACAAAAAAAAAACTTGTTAAGGCTTCTAATATATGACAAAGACTTTGGGTCAGATTAGAAAAAAAATTCCTAAAACTTTGTAAGACTGTTGTAAACAAATATCTGACATTGATTAGACTGCTTTTGCCTGAAGTGTGAATGTAGCCTTAGTGTACAGTCTCAGGGTGCTGGACTTGGGGTGAAATCCTCTTATGAGGAGCTTTTTGTGTTTTTGTGTCAGCGGCTTCTGTCTTCTTTTTTTGGCCAGGCTGTTATACCAGCTGAGTACCTGATGACTGGCCTGTATCTGTGTTGATGGCTTGGACTTTGTTCTTGCCATTCAACTTGGCTCTGGTTGTGGCTGACTTCTTTACGGCCTCGTTACGCTGCCCATTTGCTGCTGCTGATGCTTGGGTAACCTCTAGGTGTAGAAAAATTTTCAGTCAAAACTTCTTTTTTTCTGCTTTAATCCTCAGGACTATTTAATCTCATGTAGGTTTTTTTTTTTTGTTGGGATTCTCGCGGGAACGTTTTACATTGAGTCGCGTGCAGACTGCGTTCTTACAGTCTATGGTTGAAAGTGTGACTCTAGGAGTTTGAGGCTACTTTCTACTAGCTGCTAGCTAGCTGTTGTGCAACTAATTCATGTGTAAGTGCAAATGTATGGACGGTTTTCTGGACAATGTCTTTGTGAATGAAGGCAGAACTGGAGATTAAGACACAATTGAGCCTCATGCTATGAATGTATTCAGTAGATGTATTTTGTTGCATGTTTCCAACCAAATAACTGCACTTGTACATACAACTAGTGAACCAGAGAGCACTGGATATCACTTAATGCTCAATACACAGACAAAAACTCAACTTGAAGGTGTCTCATTAAGTTACTCGCACGATATGCTTTGTTGTAATGCGGCAGCCACTCCCAACAGTCACTTGTTTATTCTTTTTAATTTTAAATTTAATTCAGGGTGGCATTAAAAAGGTCTATGCATGCTGTTATTGGCATGGTATCAGCCGATATTAGCGATAAAGTTAAATACGCACGTCGGCCATTCCATCAAAATAACTCACCGATATAAAAGGCGCAGTTTAAAAATATATATTATATATTTATGTAGTGTTACATCATGTTCACCCCCCTTTTTGGCATCTGCATTTGGTAGCAGGCCAAACTGACAAAGACCGTGCAGAATAATGTAGTACTTTAATTCCACAGCAGAGAAAGCTATGTAGTCTCTTTAAGTAGGTCTAGGAAAAAAAAATATTTGTATCGGTTATCGGCCAAATAAGTTTTAACATATCGGATATCGGCTAAAAATCCAATATTGTGTATCCCTACTTAAGTCTTAACTTTGACTTGCTGAAAACTGCAAGTACCCTGGTATGTACACACAATTTGTCACTTTCAGTACCTTTTGACTTTGCTCTCTTATAAAAGGATGTTTCCTTGATGTCTCTATAATTTCCCCCTATAAACAGTTTTTGATTATTTTACCGTATCAGAAGAGTGATCTAATTTTCAGAAATAAATATTGCAGTGCTTTGGACAAATGGTTTGTGATATTGTTGCCTTTTGTTTTCTACTAAAACTGAGCAACCATCTGTCATTTCGCTCTGAGCTGAGGAGGCAAGCTGAGCATCACAGCCATGCCAAGGCCCAACAGCATAGTAGAAATTTGTGAACAAATACCTTCCCCTTGTGCTCAGCGTCTGACAGTAAGTTTATCAACATGTATTTACTTTTTGTGAGGCTACATAAACAGCTAGAGCAAATAAAGACCAGTTGGACCCTTTTATGAATTAATTAGAACAAAGCACAAGAAAGAGGTGATGAAAACTGTTTTTTCTGTGAGCGCTGCTCGTCATTACAAAGTCTTGATAAGCTGTTTGTTCTGCCATTTCATTCTTTTTTTATTCCTCTGTCAGCCCACTTCCTGTTCATTGTGTTTAGATGTTTCATGGCTAAACAATCGGACTCTGTGGCCTGTTTCTTACACCAACAGCACTTTTTTTGTTTTCAGGGTTTCTAAAAACTAGAAAACCAAAATAAAATGGCACAGTCAGATTATAATGTTTGGAAATAAACAGTTTCAGGAGACTGAAGCAGGAACACAAACATGGATGTGTATTGGTCTGTGCAAACTTGTAGTTTTCCTCTTATCGGTGGCAACATGTCCAGTCCGTACACCCCAACGTGCGCTACAGGGCTGAGGAATGTCTTTTTTTTCTTAAGAGGATGAAACGTATTTGTTTACTCATGCCTCTTGTATCTATGATCAAACACATGTTTGATAGTGAAACTACTGTGTTTTGTGATATGAGCCTTTCTGGCTCTGCATTGTTCATGTTTGTCCCTCCACATACTCACTGTATTCTCCATCTTTCATGTCTGGAGTGTTTGTATGTGGGAGGTCATGATGTGTGTGCTTTCTTGCTCCCATGGTTTCATCTGGTGGCGCCTATGTTGTTATAAACAGGAACAGGTCTGTACAGGTCCCCTGTGCCTGCAGCAGTGACTGAATAGCCTTATGAGTTATCATTGTAACCCTGCTCTAATGCACGTTTAGGGGAATGAAGTGTCTTAAATTCACTAAAGATTTTATCTATGGCATGTCACACTTCAACAGCTGGGACTCGATCCTCTGATGTAGGCAAATAAGTCTACTCTTGTTTGCATAATTTTCCTGCTATACAAATTTTGCATTTTGACAGGAGACGCGCGCATAATAAACTTACAAAAAACTTTGACAATTTCATGAAGTACGACTATTAAAATGTGATTTTATCACTAACTTTGCCATAAAATCTAAGAGCTTTTGACTCTGAAAGATAAAAAAAATAGTAATACAATTTTTGTTTCTCAGTTTTAACAATAAAATTTTAATATCGGAGAACAAGATGCCCAAATAGTAAGATGGAGCGGGAGGTGGATCGACGGATTGGGACCTCATCCTCGGTAATGAGGGCATTGCTTCGGTCAGTTGTGGTGAAGATGGAGCAGAGTTGAAATGACAAAGCTCCCAATTTCCTGGTCTGTTTACGTTCTGACCCTCACCTATGGTCTTGAGGTTTGGATCATG